TAAAAAAAAAACAAAAAAAAACATTTATTATATAACAATCATCGGAGCGAAGCTGTTGAGGGAGACAGACCTCTCTATATATCCTTACAGAGAGACAGATATCCCTCAAATAATGACCAAAGATAATTAAAAGTTCTTTAAAACTATAATTAACAGGTGGAAAGAAAAAGTTGCCTCACACCCACTAATCTCTAAGAAGCTGAATCAGGGAGGCCGACGGAATGAGCAGAAGACAATCTACAAAAAACTTAAATTGCTTAAAAATGAAACAGTGGTTTACTATCAACAATAGCATCTCACTGTTGCAATTACCTGTATTGCGTTGGAGCAGAGATTGGGAAAATCGGAATCAATGTTTACATGATTACAACTGAAAATAAAATCTAATAATCAAAGACGCCTCAGTGACGACTTAATGACGCCAATTTTATACTTAATTAAAAAGCACTATACATATAGTAAAATGCGGCGCGATAACCTGATTACAATTATAATTAGGTTTCCAATTACGATTGTAATCCTGTAATAGCCTAATCAAAATGACTTTAATCGTAATCACGTAATCATAATTACTGTGAGCGTAATCATTGATTATGATTATGAACCTCCAAGGTGATGGTGCATTAATCGTCCTCTCTCTCCAAGAAATTGTATTAATCTCCTCTTCTTAAAACAGTGCAAGAGAAAGTATAATTAGAAAAATCGTAGATCATAAACAATTAAACTAGCTGTGTCTGTTCACATTTCCCCATATGTTTGGCCACAAAAATAATTTTTTTGGATTGGTTTATTTCCGCATATTTTTGGAATCCCCCCGATGGGGGCCCCAACATAAATATTTTATGATTTTTTTATAGTCGTAGAATCATTACGGACACCCCTCTGAGAGCCCCGAATATATTTTGTATTTTCTAGTACTGTTTTTTGTCCCCCAAAATAATTGTTTTTTATTTCTGATTTTTTTTGGAGCTCCTCCGATGGGCTTCCCGATAAATATGATTTTTACTGTTTTATTGCCATAAAATGATTAAGGGATCCCTCTCAGGACCCCCAGATTTTTTGTTTTGTGTTTTTCTAGTATTTCAAAAAATAATTGTTTGGTATTCGTTTATTTTCGCAAATTTGGAGCCTCTTCGATGGGTCTTCTACATAAATGTTTTGTACTTTTTTTTAGCCATATAATGATGGGATATTCCCCCTGAGGGCCCAAAGATCATCGTTTGATATTTTTCTCGTTCCCCAAAAATAATTGTTTTGTATTCGTTTGTTTCCACAAAATTTTAGGTCACCTTCCAGAGTCTCCAAACATAAAGAATATGTACTTCTTTATATTGCCGTTTTGTATTTATCTAGTACCGTTTGGTCTATTAAGTTTGACCACAAAAATAATTTGTTTGAATTCGTTTATATTCGCATAATTTTGGGGTCACTCCGTTGGGGCTTCAACATAAGTATTTTGTATTTTGTTTTTCGTATATGTTTTCCTGATAAGGGCTCAAATATTTATGTAAAATAAATATAAACCTTAAATATAGTAGTTGACTTTCTTTAAACCTGCCACAGAAGTGAATACGTTTTTACTTTTCATATTAACCAACGTTCCGGCAATGGAAAATCGACGATGACTCTAATTATACTAGCAAAGCATGCAACTCAGTAATTATACACTAGTCGCGCCCTATTAATTTAGCTAAAAAGGTTTCCGCTCAAAACTCTAAATAATGCAGACTCGTTGTGGGTATAATTCGCATTGTGTAGTCGTTAGTGTTCAAATGACAAGATAATAAGAAAAGAAAAAAAATCTAACCTTTCAAAATATTTAGTAATCCATTCATATTTTGTGGGTAATTGTAATCGACCAAGGAAATAGAAATTAATTTGTTTATAAATTATAATAAGCTATTTATCTGCTAATACAATTATTTCGACGATTATGTTTTTGTAGTGTAGAGAATTTAGTAATCTTTTTAATGATTATGGGTGAAATCCACAAAAAATGTTTATTTTTCAGCATAACATTTTTGCCTGAAATTTTGGGGTGATGTAACTATTTTTTTTAACTGAAGGAGAAGGAAATCTCCAAAATGAGGAATTGATTATTGAATTTGATGAAGAATTAAATAATCTGGCGTACCGACACAAGAATCGCTTTGGATAAATAATACGAACTCCTATCTCCTTCATCACCTTGTCGATATCGATGGACCTGAGATATGTACCTCATGACAGAACTATAATCAACTTAAGCTTGAGTGTCTGTAAACCCTACACCTTGCTTTTTTTTTTTCGAAAACAGTACTTTTTCGGGTATTGAAATGTAAAAAAGCTGAAGGTTCCTCTCTATTTTCTACTATGTTCGCCATTTACATCAATGACCTTCCGCTCCTGATCTATCATTCTCAATACCATATTTATGCAGACGATTTCCAAATACACTTGTCCTTCTCGCCTTCGGACCTATTACTACCCACAAAAATGCTTCATGAACACTTAAATAGAATCTATGACTGGGCAGGAGCTAACCAGCTGAAGTTAAATTAGGAGAAGCCGAAGGCAATCCTAATAGGCTCCAATCACCTCCTTAAAACTGTTCCTGACATTCCAACCCTGTTCCTACAGGATAAATCCATCAAATTTCATCCCAACATCAAAAAACTTGGAATAAACTTCGATAAAACGCTTTCTTGTAAAAACCATATAGAAAAGAGAATGCTAATATTTCCCGCCCTATCTTTTCTACCTTAAAACTTCTAAATAGCCTCCGTCACCCTTTTCCTTATGAAACCCGTAGACTCCCGATCCCTAATATTTCCTCACTTTGACTATTGCTGCAACGGTATGTGGAGGCGACTCTGGGGATCTCGAGGCGAAACTAAACGTTTGATTAATTGCTTTATACGATTCATCTTCGGGATCCCAAGAGACGTCTGTTTTTCCTATTTTTATGAAGAGTTGGAGTTGGTATATCCTTCCTACCGTCGTATTTCCTGGCATCCTTCCTCTTCCAAGTCAGTCCCGCCACCTCTCATACATCTCCGAGCTCCTTCAATTTAAATCATCTGTCCACTCCCACAATACCCGTTCCCGGTTTTCAGATTTATAAATGTATGGCCTACCAAACCGCTGCTTTCTAAAATATTTCATTATTCGATCCTTATCCCTATGGAACTCCAATACCAATATTCTCCCTACTTTTAAATCCCCCCTTTTCAATCACTTCCTTTCCATCCAGTGCTTATAAAATTCATGGTATTTGAGCATTGCAGAATTTGAGCACGATAACAAATTTGGTACAAAACTGATTTCGACCCTTACTATAATAATATATGTCGGGTTATCGTTTCATCACCTTTATAGTTTCTAATATGCAAATTTGTTGGTATAATCAGTCCATTGTTTTACTTATTTCGTCATTCGTGCCCTACTAGACTTTGCCAGTTTGTAATTAAAGACTGAGTATCGATTAAAAGTTTTAAATTAAAAATATTAGTCACTGCATATGCGTTTCAGCAATGAATAATTGTCGTAGATTACTTAATTAAAAAGTAATAATGAATTATAATAAGTTATTTGAAATTTTAACTCAACTTATAAATAAATTAGATTATGATCCACTACTTCCGCAAACTCCCAACTGGTCCTTTCCCTCTCCCTCCCTCCTTGGTTCCTTTGATTTCAGTTAAAATCGAGGCCATAATTGGCTTTAATTACATAGTTGCTTTCGACTTCCGCTATCTAAAAAGAATAAACAAACCCCCAACGGGCCCTTTTCAGTTGAGGTCACTCACCTGGGTATTCAATCACCCCTGTCTATTTTTGGACACACTCGGCCATTCTCGGGATTCCATTTATTTATAGCAGGACGTCTTGACAATTACTCCACCGTTTATCTCACACCCTCTACATGTTCTATTATTCTTTCCGGTTCTTCTTCGAGCTTCATGGTCGTGTGCATTCTGTTCTTTCAAAATTCGTAATCCAGCCATGAATTTTATTGGGAGTAAGATCATAGCAAGCGAGGTATGTTAAAATGGGAAGAGCTCCTGCGTTGCGACTATCAATCTCTTGTTTTCATTATAGACTCGTATTATATGGCATATTCTTTACCAAAATGGGAACTTTAATGTTTGTGCCTGAACATTAGATATCATTCCCATATGTCTAATTCCTACCTCCACGATAACATCGACCGTCCCCACTCTAACTAATAATTTTGATAGAATCTTTCAACATTTGATGGAAATTATCTAATCTCAATACTAAATTATCAACATCCAATATTGATGTATTGACTGAACTATATTTAAAAATAATTTTGGTTTATTCACTTGATACTTTGGTTTCTAAATAAAAATGAATCTTCAATTAAATTTCGCTTTGGTTTTAGTGGCAGTTCTGAGTTTTTAATTGAACTTAATAGTTTTCAACGAATTATGCTAAGATTGTGTGTGAGAGGGACGACAGAGCCTATTCACTGGTAGGTCTGGGATGGGCGATATATCAACGAAGGAATAAGCTCTTAGACCTGATGTGTTACATTGCCAGAGTGTAGAAAAGAACCTTTCATGACATATTAGAAGAATTTTGAGGCCAGGATGAAGCTAGACACATCAAGTAAGGGTAAAGGAGATTTCAAGGAAACGTCATAAAACGTTGATGAAGTGGATCAAAACAAATACTTTTTATATAAAGACCCATTGTGTTACCATTTAAAAGTAAGTATAAATGGAATTTATAAAAAAAATCATTTGAGGTCATCAGTAGTTTTAAATGTTAAACCAATTCCAATCATGTTATTAATGGTGCAAGTATTGTTTGGGTGTACAGCGAATTGTGGAAGTTAGTTTGAGGATGACGTCGTTGATTGAATAACACACAAATAAAGAACCATATATTTCATAGCGTCCTGAACTTTCGGCCTAAGTTTTAGGCCTTTGTAAGGACAACGTTGAGATTGTCATAGTAAGTGCTTTCATTTATTTTCGTCACGATGAAGGTTTAAAATATTGGCCGAAACGACGGCTTGCTATAATATAAGTTTTCCTTGTCTGTTATTTTATCGATGACCACACCCCTAACAAACTTTTCCTATAACAATTTTCTTTTTATTTCTCCAAAAGGACCTCTTTGGTATTATTTTTGGGAGGTTATAGCGCTGCTTGGAAAGTTCAAGTTGTCCTTATGTTTGTTACTTATGGAAAACGATAGAAATTCTGCTTTTACGTTGTTGCAGCCGGAGCTTTTAAATGAAAAACAGTTGAGAGAGATATTGATATCAGTACGTATTGATTTTATTTTTTCTTGTGACAGAAATAGAATTTGTTACCTGTAGATTGATTGTCTAGGTGTGCTTCCTTATTGTTTATCTGTCAAATATATGTGTATTTGAATTGGCCTTTTTAAAATAACTATGTACGGATTCGTTTTATTGGTATTGTTGTTATAATTGGGTTCATATTATAACTTTTACTAAGTCTATGATCTACTATTAGTTTACTTAGACCTTTCATATGTGCTTGGATTAGTCTAGTATTCAGTTTTTATATATTAATGATTTATAATCATATTCACTTTTTTAAATTATGTGATTGTTGTTTTGTAGAGATGTGTCTCAAGGAATTTGAATGCCTGCAGCAAAGATGAACTGGTTGAATTATTTCGTTCCATTGCATTGCCCTTACCTCAAAGAGAATATGGTGATAGCAGGAGAGAAAAACTTCTTTCTAAAAAGCAGCAGAAAAGGAGAAGAATTTCTATTTCAAATAATGAATCCAACAGGTACAGATATTTCAGTTAACATATTCTTATATAAAACTATTCAAGATTATGTTTTTGTCTTGTTATATTGCTTAAGTAGGAGTTCTGTGAGCAATTAATAAAACATTATAGGTATTCGTGGTCATTTTTTTAATGTGTTTCAATGTTTGTGGAATTCCATTCATCATTTTGGAGAGACAAAGTTCGGCCCCCCATATTTGGGTTCCCCTATAATGTTATCAGTTGTTAACAATTCTTAGATATTTTTTTAAATAATATAAACATGACAATTACTTCCCCTAATATAACTCAAAATTTTCAATTTTCTTTATTCCTTTCCCAACTGAAACTGACAGCTGTGAAGCTTCTATGTAACTCATATATTGTTTTTGGCATTATAATAGTTTTTGTTAATTTTTATAGTAATGGATATTTAATAGCATTGTCTTCCATTTGCTGGAATTTCTCAAGAGATTCTTAAGGAAGACTTTGTTTATCAGTTTTAGTACCTCTGCACAAATGTCACTCCACCTTGTCCTGTGAGACTAGATCCTTTGTTTGTGGTATAAAAAGAATCCCTAAAATGGCTCAAAGTGTTCGAAAGTAGGCAGAAGTGACTGAACCATGTGGTAAAGTCCTGACTGCCACTGAAAAAGACCCCTTGGGGTATTGTATCTTTAGAGTGATTAGTGATGGGTATTCGAAAGCAGCGATGTAAATGTAAATCAAAGCTAATTAACACTCTGATTTTTATAAAAATGACCAATTGAGAATTTGCTCAAGTTCTAAATTGCGGGGGAGGGGACAGGCTAGCCGAATGGGCTACCTCGTGTGCACAGCACTGCGAGTTGCCTGGCAATCAAATAACCGAAGTTAATGAGGTTAAGTAAAAAGTATGAGTTCGCGTCCCGGTGCTGGGACAGCATACTTATTAATGGCTACAGACAATTTTCCAAAACTAATATACAATTATATAGTATTAACAATATGTATGAGCATAGTATACAATTTTTTTTTTTATCTATATATTTTTTTTTATTATAATTTTTTTTTTCTATATTTTTATTTATTTATTTTTTTTTTACTATTTCTTTCATTCATTTATTAGCATTATATATCCCTTTCTGTTCCTTCTCTCACCTTATACATTTATCTCATTCCCTAGATTTTCTCCTCTCTTTTCCTAACCTAATTCATAACATGCATACAAATACATAAAGTGCAGTGGACATGGTCAATAAATAATGTAAAAATGCCGTAAAACACGCATGCCTCCCCCCATGAACAAACTCTCTCTCTATCCATGCACATGGTGATGGATAATTCTCAGGGAGTCGAGGATTATATTCTCTGCCAACCTTGCCACGCCCTTTATGTCGACACCAAGGTCCTCCATGAAGCTCCTTGTTGAGTTCGGTATCGTTCCGCGAGCTCCGAACCAAAGGCCTCTCACATGGAACTCTCTCGCCCCGAAACTCTCGTGGAACTTTTCACTAAGGAAAGGAATGCATTTCTCATGGGTCTTTTTTTTTCTCTCTTTCCACTTTGCCTGCCTGATTGAGATCATTGGTCTCATACCTCACGGTAGGATCCAAAATCATCGCCGATTTTCCCGTCTTAGGGAATGCTACAATGTCGGCATATCGGGTGGATCCATCCGTATCTATACAATATACTTCCTCGAAACAGGCGTAATCTCTCTCTTCAAGGAGCCTCATCAGTTCATGTTTGACTCTGTGGTCACATATAGCACAAATAGGTTCTCCTTTTGCCAAAAACAGATTCTTGACAGTGACCAGCATTTATTGTTTAATTTAAGTCAGGAAACGCAAGAAGTTAATTTTATAATAAGTTAAAGGTAATTTTTGTTAATCTTAAAATGAAGAATATGAAATTTCCTTAATTATATCCTTTTTCTCATCTCTGCCAGCTATATTAAATTATTTTTATTTGTGTGTTCTCTCTGACTGAAACCCCCAGCCATATTGTCTATATCGAACTATTTCTTCACCGTTATTTATTTATTGCTTTTTCCTTTTTTTTAGTTCTGTGGCTGTGCCATCAAAATCTGATGAAGAAAGCAAAAAGTCCAGTAAGTTAGCAGAAGATAAGGTGTCAGAAAGACTGAAGCCTCCTCCAGACCAGATAAACTTTCAAAGAAAAGTAATTAGGCTTAGCGATTCAGCAAAAAAACGAATTAACATTGAATTGGACAAAATAGTTATTAAAAACAAGCAAAATAGTAAAGAAACGACCAACATTGCCATATCAAAAGATGAGTCGAGTAATCCTAAGAGGTTGTGTACTAGTGCGGAAGTCAACGGGAAGAAGGACATTGATACAAAGAACAGTGTTGTTTCTACGACCGCAGTAAAGCTTAAAAGGAACTCACTAGATATTAATACAGTAAGAGATTAGATTAATTTTAAAACTATTAACAATTATTATCTATTCTACAACTTTCCTATAGAAAATACATATTTATTTCATTAATTGTTATCAAAAATTTTATTTCAATCAATTTATGTCCATCAATTGGTATACATTTTTCCTATCATCCAGAAAAACTGCTCTTCTGCTACTTCTATTCGTTTTTCACTCCAAAACTCTTGGCGTTATTGTCTGAACTGTCCCTCCATCACAGCTTAATTTTTCCAATACGTCGCCCTCCATGTAAGAGGAGCTTGTTCGAGGTCATATCATCAGTCATCTTGATCACATGGTGTGCCCATCTGAGTTGGCCTATGTTTATCAACTTCACATTGAAGTCATCAAACCTATTGCATTCCCGTATAATGAAGTCCTACTCCACAGCCTTATTTATTGTCCATGTCTTGGGTAAATAAGTCAAGACCGGTCGTATGAACGTTTTGTTGAGGATGCTTCAGCTACATTGGCTCACTAAGTTATTTCTCAAGTGCTGACTGGATCCATAATAGCAACGGTTAACAACCAGATTCTTCTTGCTTATTCTTGTTAGATGGAAAGACTACATTCTGTAATTAATTTTGTATTTTGCCATGAAGGATGTTATGGTCAACATTATTAAATGCTTCATAGAAAACTAAAATGATAATTTTTTTTTTTTTTTTTTTCAATGGCAGTTTTGAGGTCCTGGATTATTTTTAGAAGAGAAATGGCTGTAATAGCCTGATCAAAAGTCAGATTGCAGAGGGTAAATAAGGAAATGTTCTAGAAAGGTTGGAGAGGAGAAAAATAGGACAAAAGTTATTTAGTTAAGAAGGGTTTGAAATTTCAGTTAGGGGTCAGTGTCAGTAGAAGATAAAGTGGTTTTCCAAGATGATGGAGATTTAGAATTTCGCCAAGAAAAGTTTTATATATAATAAAGTACGGAAATAAGGTTGGGAAGACTGATTTTTTTAATTTTACGGAAATATTGTAAAGTCCATAATCAATGGTATGGGATTTTAAGGTAGCGGTGAATAATTCGTCATAGCGAGATCATCTAGATTACTCGGCAGAGAATTGAGGTTATTAAATTCTAGTAGGAATATTTTTTGTAATATTTTTCATTTGGATTAAGAACCGCAAGCATTGAGGAAGTGGAGCCATCTACAGGATATCTACAAATTGGATTCCATTAAGATGTTTGATGTAGTTGTTTTGTCAATATTTTCGTCTTGCTACATCTCTTCTTTAAAAAAAAATGTATTTTTGGCCCTCAGTCATTGGGTTTGTATGATAATTATCTCTGGTTTGGATGTACTGCTTTAGTTGAGTTTTGGCTTCCAATACCTGTTAACCAAATAGACCATCCTGTGCACGATATTTATAACATGTTTTTCTATAGTTCTTACGATTTTGATTAATCTAGCCTAGAATCTTCTTAAAGACCTTTAACTTTTCATTTGCTTATTTTGTACATCTGTGAGAAAACAAAAATTTTATCTGCCCATAAATTAAAAAGTAAATATAATATATGAATAATTTTATGTATAATTGAGAGATAATTAAATTTGCTAAAAAAAAAAAAAAAAAAAAAAGAAGAAATTGGTATGGTCTTTGTATCCAGGTTTTTAAAAATAATTTGATTATGTTCTAATTGTAATTTGTTAAAAAAAATGTTAGTTTTCCAATAACATGAAAACTATAGGTTTCCCAGAACATTCTAGATGCTCATTTGAATGATAATTAAATTGTCAACAAAACTGAAAAAAAATTAATCGGACCTATATTTGGGAGGGTAAATAAAACAAATTTTTTATAAGACTTGGCATCCATAGCAGTGAAGAAAGTGCGAATGAACTCATTAGATATTGTTATTTAAATGTATTTTACTGAAAAAAAAACCCCAAAAAAAAACATTTTTCCCTTAAAATATTGCTAGGCTAATAATATCGTTCATGCTTATTTTATTAGTGATGTTTTGTATGTTTCATATTAAACATTGAGTTTTTAAAATTTTTTGCTAAAAAGAATAACTGTTTTGATGATTTTTAATCTTTCTTTTGTATGTAGGATCAGAAGTCAGAAGAAAAGAAAAAAGGAGAAGAAAAAACACCCCAAAAGAAAAGGCAGAAAATAGTAATATCATGGTGATAAAATAAAAAATATATGTTTCATAGCCATTGGAGCCTGTCAGAGTCATGTACATAGTTTTTTACTACACCATACTTATCTGTTATATATTTCTTATATAAGATAGTAAAAATATTTTTATTTATTAACAATTATTTTAAATTGTTTGTGTAATATTTATTATTACTAAGTATGTCATAGCAATAACTTTTTTAATTTGCTAACCTTGCACTTGTTGCATTTTTTTACTACTGTATATTTTTCTAAGTACCCATATGCCGTAATGTGATAGTACATATTTTAAATATATGGTATGTGTTTTGCCTTTGAACTGTTTTATATTAAATCATTTTGGTATTATTTCCATAATATTATTAACTCTTCCTTGATTTTGAAAGATTAGTTTGAGACTTAAATGATAAATATTCTTTTATATTGGATTTTTTCTCATTAATAGTAGATCTATTCGTATTGGTATGATTATAGTAGCTGGTTTCGAAGAAACTTAATAAAAGAAACATTAGAGTTGTGAATGAATTGCAATTCAGAATTTAAGGACATATTGCATTATCTACTTTTAAAATCATCAACAGCCTAATCAATAAAGGTAACTTTTATTTATATAATTTTAACTAATGTTTTATTTGCAGTGTATTTTCTGCTGGTCGATTTCTTATTACTTATAACTCTGATCTTAATTTGGACATCAGTTTTTACTTTTCTATCCCAAGAAAAGTATTGTGATTGGTTTAGATGCCTCTGTTCCAAATTGGGAACCCATTTGCCAATAACTCAAAAATTTACCTTTTGTTTAAATGGCTACAGACAAAATGGTTCTAATAGTTTTTAAGAAACTTACCTGATCTTCTACTCAAAGTCCTTTAAATTTTCATATATAACCGGAAAAAAATTATGACTAAAATTAAATTTTATTTGCACACAATTCATAAAATTTGCATTTTATGGTTATTTAAATGTTTTAAAATTTGAAAGATAATAACATTTTCTCTTGAAAAATGGCCTAAAATTGATGAGAAGTTGCAAAGATGTATTGAACTTTTTACCCATGTTTTTATTTTCCCACCATATGCCACAGCTTCTTTTCTAAAAATCCACATCTAGAGCCAATAGTTTACCACCACTACTTTATTTTAAATTTGTTTTTCTGTTATTTTGAAACTTTTTTTATTGATGATATTTACAACTGTATTACAAATAAAAATACATTCAGTAAATGTGAACAAAAGAATATAATAACATAAAACCACTTGTTGAGAAACTACCCACTGGTAGCACTCTAAAAAGGTATTTACAAAAGATGATCTTGAGGCCATCTTCTTTTCAGATGCCTCGGAAGGTTGTCAGGGATCAAAGAGGAAGCAAGGTTAGAAACGAGAAGGTTTGGATGGTTCTGAAGTTTGTTATGGAAGGAAAGGTATCTGGATTGAGCCAGGTCAGAAACCTAAGGAATATTATTTTGGAACTAAAACTTTTTCTCTTGCAAATTTCCAAGTAAAGTTTTTCATAGAATCTTTCTTTTTTTTAGTAATCATTTATTTAAAAGTCTGTTGATTTTGTCAAATAGTCAATCTAAACAAACTTTTATTCCTAGTTTCTTAAACAAATAACTTTAGAATTAAGTAATTCATTTAAGAGGTAGCGGGTTAGCTCAGTAGTATGGCACTAAGCTTCCAATGCTGAAGGTCCCAGAATGGCAGAAAAATTATTTATTCTGTTTAATTGGCCGTGGGGCGACCCTGAGGTAGGGAGACCCTCCTTGGGCACATCCAGCCTTTACAAAGTGGGTACCCTTAATTAAATAATTGTTTTAGGGAGGAAATCTGGGGGTTGAGCGTGATCCTCTCCTTGCACAACCCTTGATCTTGAAACGGTACTTTCCTTAAATAGTACTGAACTCAAGTCCCTTCATGGGCTGGTAGAGTTAAGATGAATTATAACTCTGATCTAATAGTCCAGCCAATGAATGATTATATAGGGAAATATAAAGAACACAATTCTTGACTTTGGGACTTTGTCGGACTAATTAGGATTCAAACATACTAAAAGTCCTTATTTCAGTGAGCCGAGAGCACGTAGAAGATCCCTTTTTTAATTTGTTCCTTATATCATGGAAAATATGCCCTAAGGATAAAGTTGTTCTATACAGAATAAAAGCTAATAAAATTGTCAACAATATTATTAGATGCTATTCATTTTTACCCTATCTCGCATAGATTCTGAGATACCTATGCATTATATTCCCTAATTAATTTGAAAAAAAAAATGTTTTAACAGCCAAGTGTGGGCTTTGTGACCCTCATTAATAATTATCATTTATTTCTTCTATTCATTTTTATTAACTTTTCTTATGCTTTAATCTTGTTTTTATTGCAATGGAGAATATTTGATCAAACAGAATGCGCTAACTATCGAGGAATCTCACTCCTTTCGTGTGCTTATAAGCTGCTCTCTAACATTCTTTTTGAGAGGAACCTCCCATATTCTGAAAAGGAACTAGGGAAATATCAGGCTGGATTTCAACGAGGACGCTCAACCACTGATCAACTGTTCTCTCTGAGGATGATCCTAGAAAAGACTATGGAGCGTAAGGTAGTCACCCACCATTTATTCCTGGACTTTAAAGCAGCATACGACAGCGTTGATAGAACACAACTATACTGTGCCTTGGAGGAGCTAAGCATCCCTCAGAAGCTCGTACGCCTAATCAAGATGACCATGGACAGCTCGAGATGTAGAATACGCGTCGGTTCTGATGCCTCCGAAGAGTTTAAAGTGAGCAGTGGGGTTCGGCAAGGGGATGCCCTCGCCTGTCTATTGTTTAATTTGGCAGAGGAGAAAGCTGTAAGAGACTCCGGTATTCAGACCAGTGATATAATCTTCAATCGCCTGACACAGCTTCTTGGTTTTGCTGATGATATTGACATAATAGGTAGGTCTGAACGGGCTCTCAGAGAAGCGTTTATAGGCCTTGAAGCAGCTGCAAGACCACTTGGTCTAGAAGTCAACGAGAGGAAAACTAAGTATATGAGAGTTGGTGGTGAGGTGGATCTGAACTCTCCATTTGAGGTAGGTTCTTTTAAGTTTGAGAGAATAAAAAGTTTTATATACCTTGGGTCTGAAATTAATAGCAAAAATGACATGGCTCAAGAGATACAGAGAAGGATCTCGGCTGCCAATAGATGTGTCTTTAGACTTGGCCGGCACTTAAGAAGTAGGTATCTCTCAAAGAAGACCAAGCTGATCATATACAAGACCCTTGTACGGCCTGTTTTGACATATGGCTCAGAGGCTTGGACGATGACTAAAAACGATGAGATGAAACTGAGTGTGTTTGAGCGAGGAGTCCTCAGAAGGATTTATGGTCCAGTAAAGGAGGGTGATGTCTGGAGGAAAAGAAAAAATAGGAAGCTCAGTTCTCTTTATACAGACATCGACGTAGTCAGGTATATTAAACTGGCCAGATTAAGGTGGGCAGGGCATGTGGCCAGAATGAGCACCGTTGAGATACCCAAGAAAATAATGATGGAGGAGCTGCACCTCGCAAGACGGGTAGGAAGGCCGAGGACGAGATGGTTGGACAACGTGGCTTATGATGCGAGAACCCTGCTTGGTGTACGGAACTGGAGAGCTGCAGCAGAAGACAGAGCCAACTGGCGGAGGCTCTTGGAGGAGGCCCAGTCTCGGTAACGGGATGTCGTGCCACAGATGATGATGATTAATTTGAAAAAAAAAAAATGTTTTAACAGCCAAGTGTGGGCTTTGTGACCCTCATTAATAATTATCATTTATTTCTTCTATTCATTTTTATTAACTTTTCTTATGCTTCAATCTTGTTTTTATTGCAATGGAGAATATTTGAAAAGTATGGAGAAACATAGAAACTTGTCAGACAATAAGCAATTTAAATTTATTGGGATTATCCAAGCTTGTTAAAAGCATTTAACGATGACCATAAAGTAAAAATACATGCTCATGACTCATTTTTTCACCTGGTTTGTATCATCGACTAATAGTAAGATGGGGTTTTATCTTTTATCTTTCCCCAAATTGACTTCCATACTAGAAAGATAGGTATTTTTTATTATCTAGAATGCACTATTATTAAAAAATAGTTATAAAATTCCTTCTTAAATTGTATTTATGTTCTTCTTCTTCTGTGTTCTTCTTTATATGACTAGGTTTTGAACTAAAATGAAGAATTCGGTAGTCCTCCTCAGGTCCTCCAGGCTTCCATATAGTTTCATTTCCAATTCAGTTGGAGAGGGCCAGATCACCTTCCTTTGCTTGGAGTAGACTATGCAGGTTTGTAAGATATGTTCCACATCCTGCACACTCTCACTGCACATGCAGAGGGGACTAGAGACAATTTTGAACTTACTGAATAGATGAGCTTTGAGCCTGTTGTGTCCAGTTTGTAAGCGAAAGATCAAGACCTGATCTCGTCGAGTGAGTTCATAGATCGCATCTCTGAGGTCGTGAAGTGGATGACTTCTGAACCAATGTTGGTTAATAATCGCTTTATTGATTATTTTTACCTCGTCTAGGCTGACCTTGCAATCAAATTGTTGACTCAAGGCCCCCTCCTTTGCCAGCTGATCTGCCCTTTCGTTTCCATTGATGCCACAGTGTCCAGAGATCCATTGCAGAACATAACATTCTTGTGAATATAACAATTTCACAGTAAAATAAAATAATAATTAGGAACTTCACATATATTTATATTTGAAGAGGTTTTATGAGTATCTTTTTAACCTTCTGCTAGGGGTCTGCTTACCTTTTGGCTTGCAGAAATTCTATCTAAACCTCATCTGATCACAAAACTTTAGTCAGTCGGTCGAAAGCAGTTGCTTTAATATGAAATTTTAAATTAAAGAGGTGAAATTTGACGGTTCATTTAACGGAAGAACTGACCGCTGAAAAAATTTTAAATAGTCGGTTTTTTGGAATTTTCCTAACGAAATTTTCCATTGTGTTCCGAGACATACAAAAAACAGTGAAACTTCCAAACTTTTTTTTGTTTTTTTTAGAAATGACTCCGAAACTATGCATTTTTTCGAAATTATTATTATATACAAAGTTAAAGAAGATAAAATTTACTATAAATTTTCTAAATAGCTTTTCTATGTAGGGTCCAACAGATGAGAAGTTATAAAATGTTGATTACTTATTTCATAAGAAATATCTGTTTTCATCGGTTTTCCTCCCGAAACAAATAATGTATGCATTTCTCGAAGAAATTCATTAAAAGAGCATTAAATTTCCTATATATCTCATGTAGACATGTTAATATGTCAGAAGATTTAAGTGCATGAAATCAAAGACTTATTTACCTTTTAGTAT